ATCCCACCCTTTCCAAGCCCACCAAGCCCCCCCTGCCATCCCCTCCCCACCTCCTCTGGCACCGCCGCCGCCGTTCCCGATGCTCTCCCAGCCTTCCCAACCCCTTCCCTCCCTGCCTGTCCGTGCAGCTGAACCTGGTCTCCAGCGCCAGCCTCTCCAAGAGCACTTCTGACACGTTTCCTGACGGTTTACCTCATCCCCCCACCTCGGCCACGGCGCCCATCACCCCCCTGCGGCAGGGCCCCTCCGTCATCAGCTCTTCCACTTTACACAACGTGGGGCCCATCCGCAGGAGGAACTCGGACAAGTTCTGCACCCCAATCTCTTCAGGTGAGCTCTGGGCTGGGGCTCAGCGCCCTCCTGAGGGGCTCAGGGGGTCCCTTCACTCCAACCCTCCCCTCTGTTTGTTGTGTCCTTGCAGAGCTTGCACAGAACCACGAGTTTTACAAAAACGCCGACGTCCGGCCGCCCTTCACGTACGCCTCGCTCATCCGGCAGGTGAGAGCCACAGGGACCAGCTCTGCGCCCCAAAACCCTCCCTCAGCCCCCTCCCCACCTGCTGAACCCCTTGGGATGGGTGTCCAACCCCACAAGTGACAGCCTTGTCCCCTCTCTGGCTGCCCAGGCCATCCTGGAGACCCCCGACAGGCAGCTAACGTTGAATGAAATCTATAACTGGTTCACGCGGATGTTCGCCTACTTCCGGAGGAACACGGCCACCTGGAAGGTGAGAGCAGCTCTGCCTGGCACCCTGGGCTCTCCCTGACCCAGCCTGGGCTCACCCCATTAACCCCAGGCTCACCCCAACCCTCCCTGGGTCAGCCCATCTCACCCAGGCTCACTCCATCCTATCCTGGCTCACCCCATCCTACCTTGGGCTCACCCCAACCTACCTAAACTTCACCCCATCCTACCTTGGGCTCACCCCAGCCCACCCTGGGCTCACCCCAGCCCACCCTGGCTTCTCCCCAACCCAGTGTGGGCTCACCCCATTAATCCCAGGCTCACCCCATCCCAGCTCAGGCTCACTCCATCCTATCCTGGCTCAGCCCATCCCACCTTGGGCTCACCCCAGCCCACTCAGGCTTCACCTCAGCCCACCCTGGTTTCTCCCCAGCCCAGCCTGGGCTCACCCCATTTCCCCCAGGCTCACCCCAACCCATTCTGAGCTCACCCCAGCCCAGCCCAGGCTCACTCCATCCTATCCTGGCTCACCCCAACCCACCCAAACCTCACCTCAACCCACTCTGGGCTCACCTCAACCCACCTTGGGCTCTCCCCAACCCACCTTGGGCTCACCCCATTTCCCTCAGCTTCACCCCAACCCACCTAGGCTCACCCCAACCCACCTTGGGCTCACCCCAACCCACCTTGGGCTCTCCCCAACCCACCCCAGGCTCACCCCATTCCCTCCTTTCCTCACCCCGTCCCACCCAGGCCTGGCTGCTGCAGGAGATGCTCCTGTGCTAAAAGGAATTCATTGCTCAGCTCTAAAATGCTGTAATAAATTATTTTAGGACCAAATCCCCCTTTTTTTGCCCCCCAAAACGCCTCGCTGGGCTGTGGGGATGCATCATCCCTGCAGTGGGTACAGCAAAAGGGCTGTGTGGTGAAATCCAGGGATTTTCTGTGGAGAACAAGGGCAGAGGCAGGAGGGAGAGAGAGACTGGAAACAGCAAATGAGGTTAATGATAACCTGGGGGCAGGTGACACTGCTGGTTTGGGGAGTGAATTCTCCCCAAAATTGACGTGAATTTTGGGGTGAATTCACCGCTGGAGTGAATTTTGGGGCAGCACACGAGTGCTGGGGCTGCTCCTCCTTTGTTTTTTTTTAGAAATTAAAGCTGAGAAAAGCCACCTGAGAGGAGCAGGGGGGTGTAGAAGGAGCAGTTCTGTGATTCTATGATTCACTTCTTGCCTCAACCAAGAGGGGAGATTTATTTATTTATTGTTTCCTGCTGCCCATATTTACTGAGAGGCAGCTTCAGCTCCCTCCTGCTCAGGGCAGCAAGGAGTGAAGTGGCACAGGGAAACCTGCTAGTTTAAATAAAAATAATTAAAATCAGCAAGGTGCAAGTGAGATGGAGCTTTTGGAGAGGCTTGAGGAGGAGGAATCCATTCTCCAGGAGCTCAGGGCCCCCGTGTGTCGCTGCTGCAGAGCCAGGCTTTGCTTCCATGGGAAGCTTTTGGGTGGAAACCAGGCCTTTTGGCAAAGCCCTGGATTGGGGACAGGGTGGCAGCAATGGGGCAGAGCCCTCTGTGGCATCACTGCCCCCAGAGCCTCAGTTTCCCCCTCTGCAATGAGGTGAAATTGCCTTTTTCCTGCCTTTTTGTTGCTGAAGGGAATAAATATTTTGGGGTTTCTTTTGCAGTTTCCACATAACCTGTGTTAACAAGGGCAGAGCTGGAGAAGGGCATCCCTCAGTTTTCTGCTTCTCTTTTTTTTTATTCTTTATTTTTTGCTGTTCTGCCCCCAAAAAGGGATTAAAAAGAGCTTGGCGGGAGGAAGGACAATTCCCTTCACAACTTGCAGTGCCAAGGCCAGGCTTCTTCTGGAAAAAAAATAACATATTTCCTCTCCTTGAAAAACCACTTTTCTGGGGTTTTTCCCTCCTTTCCTGCAGCTCCCCCTGGGATGGGACAGGAGTGCTGGGGACCAAGGTGGGGAAGCCACGGGGAGACCCCAGCAGGGCCCGGGGAGCGGGTGGAGGGTGCAGAGCAAACATCATTAGAGGAGAGAGATGAGAAGCAAACAGAGCAGCTGGGCCTGGCTCTGAGCAAACACTGCCTGGAAACACAAAACCGCCTCAGGCTGAGGCAGGGGACACGTCCCCTCTGTCCCCAAACCAGGGGCTGGCCTGGCACCTCCTGTGTGACCTGGGAGCAGCACAGGGATGGGGCATGCCAGGCTCCAGGGGTGCAGGGTCACATATTATTTTATTTTATTTTATTTTATTTTATTTTATTTTATTTTATTTTATTTTATTTTATTTTATTTTATTTTATTTTATGTTATTTATTTTACTTTATTTCATTTATTTTATTTTAGTTATTTTATTTTAGTTATTTTATTTTATTTTACTTTATTTTATTTTATTTAATTTCATTTTATTTCGTTTACTTTATTTTAGTCATTTTATTTCATTTTATTTCATTTAATTTATTTTACTTTATTTCTTTTATTTTATATTTTATTTTATTTTACTTTTTATTTATTTTTATTTTACTTTATTTTATAATTTATTTTATTTTATAATTTATTTTATTTTATTTTATTTTATCCCCCCCCGAGCCTTCCCAGGCCCATCCTCACCGTGCCTCAGAGCAGGGGGTGTCACCAGGGCAAAAAGGGGACACTGGGCAGGGGGGGGGTTCTGGCTTTGCCACACTCCTGGCTGTAGTTTGCTGGAGATTGGCAAATCCAGGGATTTGTTTGGGCAAAAGGAAGGAGGGAGTGTGGGCAGGACCCTGCCTGGCAGGGAGGGACAATCCTGAGTGTGCTCACAGGGACAGTGACAGTGACAGGACGGTCCTGGGGTGAGCACAGAGCGGGGGACGAGGGCTTGTCCTGCTCCCTGAGGTCCCTCTTGGAATTCCAGGGGTGTCCCTGTGGGTGATGCCATGTGTGCCAAGGGGTGCCACAGCCCTGTGCCAGGGCATGGCCCAAATGGAGCACGTCCCTTTGGGTGGCAGTGGCACAAGGCTGGGACACAGGGCCTGGCCTCAGCCACACCAAGTGTCCCCTGAGGAGCTGAATCAGGGGTGACCCAGGGGCTCCCCCAAAATCCCATCAGGCAGCCCTGGCTGGGCCTGGAGCTCCCTCCCCAGGGACCCTGGGAGATGCTCACAAAGTGTCCCCAAAGGGGGAGAGGAGCCTGTCCCTGCTGGGTGGGTGGATGGATCCATGGATCCATGGATGGGTAGATGGATCCATGGATAGATGGATCCATGGATGGATGGGAATCCATGGATAGATGGATCCATGGGTGGATGGATGGATCCATGGATGGATAGATGTGAATCCATGGATGGATGGATGGATGGATGGATGTGAATCCATGGATAGATGGATCCACGCATGGATGGATCCATGGATGGATAGATGTGAATCCATGGATAGATGGATCCACGGATGGATCCACGGATGGATGGATCCATGGATGGATGGACGGACAAATGGATGACAAGGGACAATCCCAGCTTTCTTTTCTCCTCAAATTCCGATCCAAAGGGGCGATGCTGGTGCCATGGCTGAGTTCTGGGCACTCTGGCACTCGAAGGCACGGGGGGTGCTCAGTCCTTGTGTCTCCTTTTGCCTTGTTGTGCTGGCCAGGCTCCTTTGTTTATACAGCCCCCGTTCGACCTTTTAAATTGCTGTTAATGTTTTAGCGTAACGAATTAGTCTCTCATCACGAATCAGGACTCGAAATAAAAAAAAAAAAAGGAGAGAAAAAAAAACCCCTCCGAGGCCAACTTCCTGAAATTGGGGTCATTCTCATTTGCAAGGCAGAGAATCTGAGAACCTTAATGCAAGGAAATTTATTCAAAGGCAGAGCCCCGGCGTGATTAGGCCCTTTGTAATTATAGCTCGGAGAGATTCCACTCCAGCCTCCTGCCTCCCTCATGGATTAGCAAGTGAGTCGGAAAAATACACAGGATTTAATTAGAGGCAAATTAAAATTGGTAATGAAATAGGGGCAGTAGCAAATGGCAGGGAGTTGGAAGGGGAAAAGGGAGCTGGTATCTCTCGGGGCTGCGCTGTCTGCCTACGTGTGTGTCTCTTTATTTTACATTTAGAAATGTAAAGATGGTCGATGTAAAGAAGAAAGGGAGGGAAAGGACCAAAACGACAGGGGAGGGGTGGGGGGGGGGAAAGAAAAAGGAAAGGAAAGAGGAGCTGGCTTTGCTGAGCATCACCAGAGCTGCAGTGGAGCTGCTGTCCCTTGTCCCACCCTGTCCCCACCTTCCTCAGCATCCTCCAAGCCAGGTCGTGACCACGCGGTGCCAGTGGGGTCAGGGAGCACCCAGCGGGGTT